TTTTACCGTTTTTGTTTTTTTTTTTTTTTTTTTTTTTTTATCTTTCACTTCTTTTTGTGTGTGAATTCATGTGCAATTCAGTGCAGAATTTGATTACTAATCTTATCAATTTTTGTGAGTATTTAGATCATTCTATGAATATGTAGATCGTAAAATATAAATGTAAATTAAAAATTGATGACAAAGAATAGATAATTTTCTGTGTTTTTTATTTTTTGTCACAATAAATTTTAAAATAATTTTCCTTCTTTTCTAAGTCTTTTATTATATTTTCCTATTATTTCAAATGAATTTTTTGTTATAGATATTATTATAAAATTTCAATACAAATTTTTATAGATCATTTTAAATATTTTAATTTTATGATTGAGATTAAAGATGTAAAACTAGATTTTCTAAGCTAAAAAATATTATATTAAGTTAATATATATGTATATATATGAGAAATTTTATTACCTTGTAAAAATACTAAAAGATTTCTAAATTTTATTTTAAAATTATTTTATTTGTTTATTTCTTAAAGTTTTTTTTAATTCTTGTTTGTATATATTCTTTTATTATAATGGATATTTAACTATGAGAATAATTACAAGTGATGTAACAAAAATGTAAATAATTCTTCAAATGTAATTTTACATTAAACATAATTATAGACAAATGAAACAACTTTGTTGAAATCTACTATTTGAACAATGATTAAAAAACTAGTAATTATATAATATATGACATTGGTCAATCACAAAACAATTTCTAATTTAAAAAGATGTATTATTTAATTTTAAAAATTAATATTAAAATATATTTATTCTATTGACCAAACGTTGTTTTATTATAGTTTTTTACTTCAACAATACATTTCCACTGATATATAATTTTAGATTTTTCGGATTATAATATTTGTTATTTGTAAAATATAACTTATTAAAAAATTAAATACAGTTTTGAATGCAAAAAAGAATCAGACCTTATGAAATTCAGTGATAAGATAAATCAATCTCTTATTATGATATATTTAATAAGCTGCATTGAATTCTTATATATTTATATAAAAGAACCAAAGTATAATCGTATTCGTATAATCGTATTTAACATTATTCATTTGATTTTTTAAAAAAAAATTTAAAAGAAATTTACAGTTCTAAGAGAAACCTTTTTTTACCTCTCCTGAGGTGTAAATATATATGCTTGAAAATGAATATATATATATATATAGATATATGCATATATATTTCAATATATATGTATGTATGTATGTATGTATGTATGTAAATATGAGAGATAGAGTCGAATATATTCACCGACGTTTTGTGTATTCTGTCCCAAGAGCACCAAATCCTATGCCTTTGGCCGTACAATGGTATTCGTCCGTACATTTGGCTACAAGCCGTTGCTCGTAAATTTTTTCCTAAAAAATCGACGATTAAGTAACGCAAATTTAAAATTTTAATTGCTTAAATTGGATAAACTCTCAAATAAAATCCTTAAACTAGTAGAAAATCCATGTAGTAGAACCATATAAAAAAAAATCCGCAAACAAAGCATTTGTGTAGTGTATATGATTTTAAAAAATCAGCAAACCATGGATTTGCCAATTTATTTAATTTCACCAATCTTTGGAAAATTTCGTATTATAAGATTTCATATCATGCAGATCATATTACATAATTAAATTGGCAAACCAAGTAATAAATACTAAAACTAAACTTATATACGCCATCAAATTTCTTTTTAATTGTTATGTCTTGTTTCCCCCTAACCCCATGAAGGTAAAAAAAAGATTATAGTTATATAGTTGGGAGTTTTAGCGTATTTTAATTATATTACTATACCTAAATTAAAAATTATATATTATTTTTATTGTGGCTCCCCCTTCATTAAAGAAACATGCATTAGTAGACCAAATCACGAAGCAAGTAAGCCTCCGTCATTTGCTGAAATTGGGCAAACCTTTGTAAATTTCTTTTCGGCTAGGTCTTCGAATTTTCCTTATCTTTTGAATTATTGATTTCGTATTTTATTACTCATGAAAATTATAAGAAATAATAGCTATGTCCCTATCATTAATGTTGGAAATAAAAATAGAAATAAAAAAAAACGTATAGATATTTATCGTTCGAGTAACCAAAATTAGTTTACAAATGATCTATCTGAAAATTACTTGGTAATATGCGAATCAACACAATATATATATATATATACCAATTTCATTAGTATCAATTTTGGTCCAAAAGATTGGAAAAAAAAATGTTATTGAAGCAAAAATTGGTATGGGAATGTTGGTACCACTCATATGAGCACCGAATACCAAATCCTAATTCTCCCTCTATATTCTTAGGTTATCATGAGCCAGTAACAACCACATATTTATTTTTATCTTTTTGTATTATAAGTTTCATTTTTTTTACGAGATTCGCAATGTAAAAAAATCAAAAAAGTATTTCCTATTTAGATTTGATTTGATTTATTTATTTTAAATATTTATATTAAAAACTAGATTTTACTGTTTTTATATATTAACCTTAACTATTAAATTATTACCTGTCTCTAATAATATTCGATTCCAATATATATATATATATATATATATATATATATATAATAGAAAAACGTTTTTAAATATTGTTATTGTCATATAGTATGTTTTGGACAAAGGAAAAATATTTACGGATGAATTATTTACTTACCAACTGTAGAATGGAGAATAAATTAAACGAATTAGTTATATGATTTTATCTTCGTATAAATTCGAATAATATCACATAAAATATGTGTATTTTTTTTTATTGTCGGTCCTTGAAATACGAAACGCTCGATTCAATAAAAGAGATGAATGGATAATTAATGTACTTACTAAAGAGCAGAATAAGTTCCAAAATTGCATTTTTTTTCTCTCAAACTATTATGGTTTGAAACATTGAATGGATCATAAGCTACTCACGCAAAAGTATGAGCGAAAAATTCTTATCCTTGTAAACATAACTTTCCATTTATTTTTTAAAAAAATACTATTTTTAATATATTTTCATTTTTATTCGACGATTTCGAATATTTTCATATTCAATTTAATTTTCTAATGAATTTGGTTGTTTTAGATTAAGAAAAGACATATATACCCAATTAATTTTAGTTTTATACATTCGAACCAAATTAATTGTTCATTTCAAAACCAACATATATAATTGCATGGACTTGTCTTTATGTATGAAATATTTGATAAACTTGTATTAATCTCTTTGTTGATGAATTGAAAACTTTATTGTATCGGAGAGGGACAATACGTGAATACAAATTCAGCAGATATGCGGCTACAGCTAGGCGATCATATCATTTTCTATCTTTTAAAATTATTCCAAAGGCAAAATCCCGATATTATCTATCTGATATTATATACCATTTATCCATAAAGATATATACCGAAATACAAAAAAAAATCATCTACATATAACTATTTAACATTATATTATATGGTCGAACCATCTGTTTGACAAGAAGGATTAAGATACACTGATAAGATCTATAGACCATAAATTTAGATCTAAATAGAATATTATAATTGAATATTTACAATGATAAAAATTTATATTATTTAAAATAAATGTATAAAAATAAAAAAAATAAAAAATTGATATTATATAATATTAAAATAATATTTTTCTATATTATATTTCGGCTTATTCTTAAAAAGTTATTTAGTAATATATATGAACGAACTGTATATACATAATTTTATCACGAAGAAATTATTATATTATATTACATATCACGTGGAAAAAGGTACAACTAATATAACGTTGGAAAATTTTGGGGAATCCTTTACCCTTAAACCCTAAACCCAAAAGGCAAACTATTTCACGGAAAGTCCTCGAAACTTTGATCACAACGCACACACACACGAGAGAGAGAGAGAGAGAGAGAGAGAGAGAGAGAGAGAGAGAGAGAGAGAACCAAATGCTAGCCTTGCATGGCATGCATGCATACATGCATCTAGTAATTTGACAAGAAGAATAGAAAATATTAGCGTGATTTCATTATACTACATACAATTGATATTAATTTGCATTAGGTTTTTTTATGAATTAATTTAAACAATGAAGATTATTTTAGTGATATATATATATATATATATATATATTCATTTAATTAAAGTTGTAGTATGGTTGAAAGGAAGAGGGAAAAAGGATGTAGAGCGACTCGAACAAGAGAGAAGAACACCAAAAGCAAGAACCTTGTGAAAGAAACATCTATTTTCCTTTGTGCCCTTTGCATTTCATGCGGGAATCTTTTATATGTATACATATAACATTTTAGATGATTATAAATGAGCTTGAAAATAATATCTAACTAAATATTTATTATGACATGCAAGTTTTAAAATTGTACACTTTTAAATTTTACAAAGAAAAAATCATCTTAGAAAGAAAGATATCAGTTTAATTTAGAAAAGAAAAAAAAGGCCCTTTACTATTAAAATAAAATACAATTTCTAACTGAACAAAATTTTAAAAATCTGCTAAAAACTAATTATTTTTTACTGTATCGAACGATTATTTATCTTTAATAAATTTCATCAACTATTAAATCATCAAACCCCATGTACGCGTGAGGAGCACATGGTAACTTTATATAGGATATGGAATTTATGATTTGATGATTTTATTCAAAATTAAGGGTGTACATTTTGGGTTTCTATTTTAATTTTGGTTTCGATTATGGTATTATTTGGTTTGCTTGATGTTTTTTTTTAAAAAAAAATACTTGCTCATTCGGTTTTATATAGATTTTCAATTTGATTTAAATTTGATTTAGATTTAGTTTTTATTAAAAATATAATTTTCTAAAAAAAATATTAACTTTTTAGTTATTTTTATATTCTATTTGAATTCAATTCAATTAATCTAGATTTAAAAATAATAATCAACCGATTATATGATCGAACTTAACTCGAACATGTTTATTTATTATTCGATTCAATTTTATATACTTATATATCTACTGTAAAAAAAAGAACGCATCGCCTTTTTCTCCTTTTTATTTACCACTTTGCCCCTCCGGTTTTATTTATATTTCTGGAATTATCGTTACGGATAATTATTCTAAGAATTTCAAATTCAGGGGGTATTATCATCATCACCATCGCCATCATGGATAATTAGTAAGATGCATTTTGCAATGCAATACAATGAAAGCTACCAATGTCAAAATATCCAAACGGAGTGAACCGGACCAAATGATACCCAAACGGACTAGACGGATTTGGTTCATGATTTGAGTATTTAGTGTCGGATATCCGTGATTTCATAGATATTTAGTTCTGAATCCTCTTTCGATATTTCGAAAATTTCACAAAACTTATAATCGTTTGTATATGTAACCCTGAGAAACATGGGGCGTAGATGGTTTTTGTGTGTATATACACACAAAATTTGATGGATTATTACAGTTATATATAAAAATAATTTTTCTTACCTAAATTATATGACAATATATGTGTAGCTTATTAGCAGAAATCTTTAGCTTTAATAGGAAAAATCTCCAAATGTTTTTAAATGTTACAAAAACGTAACCTTTTGAAATTCCAAAAAAAAACTCATACTCTAAAAAAAAATAATGCAGCAGCAAACGGCTCTTAATTTTGCATATAGTGTTATTATAAATTAATATGTTGAGTTAATACATATTACGTGGGGAATAAATTGTTGGTATCCATTATTTGTAAATGTAACAATATAATTCTAAATTATATAACATATTCAAATATTTAACGAAACTGTAGGTGGTGGCCACTAGAGTTTCGGGTTAAATTTTATTAATATTATTATTGTTATATGTCGCATACATAATAATAATTCTATTATCAAATATGTTTATACCGCGGCGCTCGCCCAAAAAAAAAAAAAGGAAACGGAACACGTGTTGCTACTGGGCCCACAGCGGCAAGTTGTAGTTCAACCCTAATTGGCGGGAACTGAGGCGAAATTGGAGGGAAAATCCCTAAAAATTTCATCCCTTGAATCATTTGTTTCCTATCTTCACTTGCGACGACTCAGAATCAGATGCAAAACCCTTCTCTCCCTGACGAGATTGCTCATCCCACAAGCTCTGGGTTTTAGGTTTCTTGGGAGATGTTTTCCAGTAGCCAATTCGAGCCAAACCCCAGCTTCTCCGGCGGCGGATTCATGTCTTCTCAGCCTTCTCAGGCCTATGATTCCTCGCCTTCCACCGCAAAGGTAGAGTCCTTTACGTATATTATCAGCTTCGACATCGAACAGATCATTGCAGATTTCCGATCCTTGGTTTGCGGATACTGATTCAATATCCAAAGGGTTTTGATTTCTATTCTATAGCAGGGATTGGATTTTGTGGATTTTTCTCTCTCTTTTTGTTAATTGAATTTACCCTGAATTGTCAATTTGGAATCCGAAATTGTTTCTGTGTTTTGGGAATGCAGAATCGTGAATTTCCGGTGACGGTGAAGCAAATCAGTGAAGCTTCTCAATCGGGTGGCGATAAATCGGCACTAGTCATCAATGAGATTGAAGTGACAAATGTATTAGTTCTCTAACGGTTTCATATATTGCTTTGATCCGATTAATGCCTTCCGTTTAGTCATCGACGAGATTGGAGTGATGAATTCTTTTACAGAATACTTACACGTTTTAGCGGATGCGAATACTTTCTTCTAGTGATTGAAGTTTGTTGTGTCGTTAATTCAGGTTACGCTTGTTGGGCTAGTGTCCGACAAGAATGACACACAATTCACAGAAGTTAGCTTTGCTCTCGACGATGGAACTGGACGGATTTGACTGCAAAAGATGGTAAATCTACTCATGGATTTTACTGTAACTTTAACTTTTTTATGGTACTCACTAAGCTTATTGTTACACATTAGGGAATTAGAACACTGTGCCGTGAGAGCTTAGTTTGTCACATGTGTTTTGTATAGGGTGAATGAAGTATTTGATACAAGGGGAATGGAGGCGGTGCAGTGAGTATTTTACTTCTTATTGATGTTCAGTTACAACTTATAAGATGTTTCTTATTGTATGGATGCTTGTTAACAGAGATGGAATGTGTGTCCGTCTTAATGGGCATTTGAAGAGCTTTCAGGGGAAGAAGCAGCTTCTAGTTTTCTCTGTGAGGTGGTTTTACGTGTTGGTTTGAAATGCTTGGTTAAGTTCCTTCTTTTTGGAATTGGGTTTGGGGTAAAAGGAAAGATGGTAACTCTGTGTCTGCCACTGGCGTAGTGCTTGTCTGTATCATCTGTGAGTTTATGTTGTTAGGAAAGACATGTAATCATCATGGATATCAATTGATTCAATGCCCGTTTTCTTTGTTTCGCAGGCCTGTTATGGACTTTAACGAGGTCGCCTTTCATTACATCGAGTGTATACATTTTCACTCCAGGAATTCTAAATCACAGGTAAAGCAGACACTAACAATTTGGACCATTGATATGTTCTTGGTCAACCCTGTTGTGCGTTCAACGTGATGTCACTTTCTGACATGTTCTTCTAATCTGGGCAGCAAGTTGGTGGTATCACTCAATCTCCGATGGCAAATTCATCTGTGAGCTCTATGATTTAAGATGGATCAGATGTGACTCAGGCAGCCACATCAAATCATGTATGCTCAACATTTTTCCAAGTTTTTCAACTCTCTTAACAAGACATGATTCGTGTGGTGAATCTCCCATCTCCCTTCCATCTTTTTAGGCATCTGCTCAAAATGACAGTAGTGGCCGCAAGAATCTGGATGATTTGAAATGATCGTTGATTCCCCGGATGATCATCTGGCATTGCCTGACTATTGGTTTTGGTTCTCTGCAGTGATATACAACAGGGGATTCACCTGGATGAAATCTCTCAGTTGAAGATCCCCAAGAATAAGCTAGAGTAAGTCTTTTTTCATCTAATCTCCTTCTGGTTTCTACATGTTTCTCCCTAACCCCATAAACACTTGCATCCATGACAGGGACGTGATTCATTCTCTGGAAAGCGATGGATTGATATATTCGACCATCGATGAGTTTCACTTCAAGCATGTCGAGCTTTGACATATAATACGTCCACTGGTATATATTCTCTTCTCTACCCTTCCTTATATAATAGGATAGGATATATAGATATGGGTCATTGGTATCTTTCTCTTTGTTTTTTACATTGTCTCTGCTGTCCGATCAGTGCAAACAATGCCAGCATCTAATTGAAATATTATGTCCGAAACTTATTTAGCTAATGTTCTTAAAAACAAAAAAAGTTCAGTGTTCTTCATCAATCACCACACTAGAAAAGTTTGGATTCTCCATTTTTGGTAACAATACTTAGTCTAAATCTATCAACCCTTCATGAGTGGTGGTCAACGCTCATGGAGTCAACGGTAAATAACTTGCAAATCCTAAACCCCATTTTATATTTATCTTTTTTTTATAATCTGATTGGAAAGTCTATGTAAATATCTTTCTCCAAGTGAAATTCAAATTCGAATTGAATTTTTTTGTTTGTTTTTTATCATCGGTTGAACCATCTAAAAGCTAAGCGTGTTTGTATATAATATATATATATATATAGTCTTTTCAAAAGTTATTGGAACAATGTAATTGGACATATATAGTATTATATTATATGCGGATTGGAATTTGATTTATGGTGAGGAAAGAGATTGGAAGTGGGGCTATGGGGATTCGACGCGTGTCTCTGTTCCTCCGGGAATCAGACATCTGACTGTCACGTGCGCTCCCAACTCATGCTCCGGGCTTTTCCATCCCCCCATACCTTTGGAGCCTTTCCGTCATAGATTCCAACAACAGTTCTTTACAATAATAATAATGTCAAATTATTATAGTTATTAATTTATATATATATACAAAATTAAAATGACGTAACAGTTATTAGAAAATTATATTATTTCATATGGGTAAATAAACCTTGATCGATCAGGGTAAACAAACCTAGACTACTAGGGTTAGATTGGATATATCCAATTTGTTCAATCCGGATTCAATATTTGTAACTTGTATCAACCTATAACAATTTTAGGGTGTTATATATATATATATATAAGCTTGACACTTACTCTTTCTTGCAAGATATGTAAAATTTATAGAGAGAAGTTGAGCCAAGAAGATATCAACAATATTCTAAAAATCATATTTATATATACAAGATTCCAAGCCATATATATATATATTTAGGTTTACAATTAAAAAAACAACTTCGAAAAAAAAGATAATTAATTAAACATAAACAAGAAATTCTTGCCTGGGAAAGGTATATACAATATGTTTCTCACTCCGTCGTACACAAACATCATCTCGACCGTCCATTTCAACAACTTTGGTATACGTATCAAAACCATGGCATACAGTTCCTGAAGCGTATCAACGGCTGAGATTTAACCATAGTTCCGAAATGAACGGTCGTAGAAGATCTTCCTACGGAAACGTGCATGAGAAATAGTAACTAATACATAATACTTCCGACAAGAACTCCCCCGTCACAAACTTCATAGAATACATCAATATACACATATATATACATACATGGATATAATTATTAGATGTGGAACCAGCTTGGTGATGGTTATATGTCCCGGACATGGAAGATGCTAGGGTTCTTGACGACAATGTCGTACATGTGGATAGAATTGAACTTGGAGAAATCTCGGGGGAGAGAAATGAGATCGATCGAGGTGTTCTTGTGGAACTGAAAGAGATCGGAGTTTTCGCCCCCGTAGTAACGTTCCCATCCCAAACTAACCAAGATTCTGTCGAGAGAACCGTACGAGGAAACAACCTCGCTGGTCGGGAGATAAACGAGAATCTTCTTCCTCATTCTCTGTTGTTGCCCGCCGGAGGAATATTCCGGGTACTCTCCGGCGCCGGATTGGTTGTATGGGTTCTCCACCAATTTCATCACTCCGTTCTTGAACACCCACACACCAGACATGATGATGATGATGATGATGATGATGACGGTTGGATTGTAGAGGAACTAGGGTTTTAGATTTGCTTGTTTTTATTGAATTTCGTTGAGTTTGTTTGGTGAGGAGAGGGAGGCTGTGAGGAGGGGTATATATATGTTGGTAAGAGAATATTATATGCATACATAGATAGTGACAAATATATTATACACAAAAATATAGATTCTTTCATTTTCCTAAAGTGTGAATCTTGCCAATCCATCAATATTCCACCAATATTACTTATTTTTAATATTTTCGGAAATAAAATATACTTATAAATATAAGGAAACCAAATTTATTTACAAGAATCAACATACAAGCTAAAATTATGAATATGTAATATTGGTTGATGATATGAGAATTTAATCACTTTTTTTAAAAATAATAAAATGAGATTTTCATTATTGGTTTTGAGGATTATATTAGAATAAAACTCCCATGAATGTGGGCAAGTGAAAAAAATAATGGGAGAAAACTAGAATATTTCAATTTGCGGCCGAGAATATATATATATATATATATATATATATATATATATATAAACGTTGTAGGTCCACACACAACACAAGTGATTGAGTTTTCATCGTAGAATCTCTTTTATTTTCCCCATTTATTCGTTGCTTTTTTAATATGGAAGAATCTTTGGTAGGATGTCACAAAGTTTCAGATTCTTGCAATTAGATTAATTAAATACATTATATAAAACCTTCGAATTGCGTTTCTGTTCATTCTGTATTCTATAATATATCTTCTAATTAAGTTGATTTCTAAAGGGAATGAGAATTTCTCTCGAATTATTTCCGAAAACAAACAGAATATTTAAGTACAATCGATCGAAATTCAAAACATCGGTTAACCGAGTATTAAATCGAACTTCAAACCAATATATTAAAAACAATCAAACTAAACCAATTGAACCGTACGTGAAGTAAACCGGTCAACTTACAGCCACATATACCAAAAACATGTTTGCATACATGCATGATTCTAACGATTGTCAATTTGTCATGCAAACAACGACTATAAACTTCAATACAAATATTATCATAACAAACGAACGGAATGTGTAAGAATGTTTCTTCTGCATAGAATCTCATATTCTCGCACTAAAAGAAAACTATATAATCTCAATTTTGAATATATATATATATATATATACATATATATATTTATAATCGATAATGATATATTAAGGAATATAAACTCATCATATATATCTTATAACAATTAATGTAATTTGGACAAGAAAACGTTACACTAGCTAAGCAAACTGTTAATATAAAAGTTGGTAATGATATTTATATATGAAAATACATTTGTCTAAAAAAAACACAAAAAAAGAAATTATTTGACAAACAAATTCATTTATTTCTTAAAATTAAAAACAATTTGCTACACAGATTTGATTCTACATGCATGCACGAATTTGAGATTAATTAAGATATTGTTTTCTAAACAAATGTGTTATAGATTTTAAAATTTGAAACATTTTTAAGCATTTTAATGTTTAATGTATTTATTCGTTAAAATAAAAATTCGTATAATTTTTAATATAGTTTACCGAACTAGTGTGTTTTATGTTATGGGATGATATATACATATATATATGTATGTATATAATGGAGCAGGCGGAGAAAGCGGTGGCTAGGAGTAGGGTTTTTATTTATTTATTTATTTAAATAAAAGCATAAGCTTTCGCTTATAATGTTTTGCATGCATGCATGCATGTACCGCAGCAACTCAAGGCGTCGCGGTCACGTGGCATCACGTGGACTTCATGGTCCATCCATTATACCCGAGGCGGGGCCAAATCTTGAAAATTCTTGCTTCCATTAAAATCTTTTTTCACGACAACAACATGCATATTTTGGTTACAAAATGCTAAATGTATTCTATACCGAATTAATATCACAATAAGAAACCCAAGTAAAGATTTATGATATCACACTTATTTATTTTTTTTTACTTTGGGTTTACTATTGTGAACTTTGTGGTATGTGTCTAAAGATGCTGTCTCATTGACCTCCGTTCTTGTAAGAACATTTTATATTTATAAGATTTACTTTTTAAAAAAATATCTAATAAAAAATGTTTGGCAAGCTAAGAATATTGAATCTTTGGTTTCTAATTTATATTAAACTGGTACATGTCATAATGGACCGAATTTTCGTAAAACTATTAAATTTAACATTCGTTGAAAACGTTTCTAACCATCCAAAAGCACCACATCATTAATCAACACCATCATGTAATTGAAATTTAAAGCGCACATAAGAGTTAAAAAGCATCCACGAATCCAATTTCGTGATACGCTTAGAATCAATTTCTACTCCAAGAGATCTATCATATATGAAATGGAAAATCTTCTCATGATATTAGGGTTAAAGGATTACGTAGTTTTTTTTCTATTTGTTTTTCATATCTCTTAAATGGTTATAAAATTTAGGACATAATCCATAAAAGTCCCTCACAGACAAGGTTTCACCTTTTCGGATATTGTCTCATTATTCTCTCTCTCTCTCTATATATATAGAGAGAGAATGATGGGACAATTCATATATATATATATATAATATAAAATCTTGTCAGGCAAATTAGACACTTGTAAATTGACTGTAGATTCTCCAAGAAAGCAAAATGTCAGTCTTTTGGTTGACAAGAAAATTTTAAAAACGGTTAGCAGATAATTAAACATATATATAACTATTATAATATATAAAAGCCGCAGATAAAAAAATCAATTCAGCAAATTCGTCACTATCGGAGATGTGATTTATAAATAGTGTGATTGTGAACATATTAAAAATTAAAAATAATAAAATTATGTCGTGGTCACACAAAGTAGAAGCAGAAGAAGAGGAAGATAAAAAGAGAGCCTCGTGGGAAATGATGCAAAACCATAGCACCGACCAAAGCCACATGCTTCCTCTCTTTCTGTCCCTTGCCTTGGGGTCCCTTCTACGTTGACATTTTCCTCCTATATATATTTTTTTTAATTATTTTTTATGCTTCAACTCAATCAATTACCATCATCATCACCATTATTATTGTTGTTATTATTATTATTATTATTATTATTATTTAAACATCACTCATGCACGAACACGAAACTGTTGCCTACATGCATCTACGTAAACGTACTGCATGCATTTATATAGAGATAACTTTTTGAATATATTATAAAATAACATGAAAAAAATAACCTTACGTGTTGAGCATGATTTCTGCATTTAAAATTATTGATTATAATTATATCACACGTAGATTTATTTATAACTGTACCGAACTTTTTAATAGCCTTAATTTTATAATATATGTACGCTTTTTTCATTCTTTTTATAGCAAATGCGTGGTGATTCGAAATACCCGAGGAAATTACTCGGCGCCCAGCCTTAACATGTTTGGGAGACGTAATAATAAGATGAAATAATACACTAAAATATATTCGGTTAACAATAGAAGTATTTCAATTAGGGTGGCTATATGTTATATCATCTTAAAGTTTTATAATTGATATGGAACAACACGTATCACAATTAATTCTTATAATTATTTACAAATTGTAAATGTAATTGGGATCATAATACATATAAATAGGAGTCAATGCTAGATTGTACACCCTAATAATAGAACTCTAAGAAAACTCAATTTAAGATAAAATCTATATATAAAAAAGGATAATTTTAGGTCACCCAAAAATACCCTCAAGCAAAAATTACCAAACACAATAGAAAATGTCTCTCCACCATTCATCACATAACCACCTCTCTTGATTCTTTTTTATATATAAACCCTACAAACCATTTTCCCCATTTTTGTGGGGAAGAAGAAGAAGAAGAAGATTAAAGAAGAATAAATAAAAGAATAAAAAAAAAAATGGGTCTCAAGGGCTCTTCCTCCTCCTCTTCTTCTTTCCTATTGCTCGCCATCTTAATCGTCTTCTCCTCCACCACCATCTCAGCCGTTAACATCACCAGAGTCCTTGAGAAATACCCTAATTTCAGCACCATGAATGACCTCTTCACCAGGACCGGTCTGAACGTGCCCATCAACAAACGCCAGACGATAACCATTCTCGCGGTCGACAACGACGCCATGGGCTCTATCTCGGGTAGACCCGAGGAAGAGATCAAGAACATTCTCATGAACCACGTGGTTCTTGACTACTATGACGAGATCAAGCTCAAGGGTCTCAAGGACAGGAGCACGTTGCTCACTACTCTGTATCAGACCACTGGTTTGGGACAACAACAAAACGGTTTCCTCAACTGTACCAAGATGAATGGGAAGATATTCTTTGGATCAGGAGTAAAGGGTTCACCTTTGAACGCTCAGTACGTTAATCCCGTGTTCCAAAACCCTTTCAACTTGTCCGTGGTTCAGATCAGCATGCCCATTGTGGCTCCTGGGCTCGGGTCTCCGATTCAGGCTCCTCCCCCACCACCCTTCACTCCGCCACCGGCCCCGGCTCCCAAGAAGGGAGGAAAGGCTCCGGCTCCCGGGCCAAGTGAGGAAGATGATTACTCAGACTCTGCCCCGGAAACTGCACCTGCCCAAGCACCTTCGGAAGATGATTCTCCAGCTCCCGCACCAAGCAATGAAGGTAAGAAGAAGATGCCAGCGGCTGATGAGAGCGAACCACCCGCATCTGCTGCTTCCAGTGCTGGTTTGAGCTTTGGTGTTGCGCTCCTGCTCGGGTTGGTGGCTAGCTTTGCTGGGTTCTGAAGATGAAAAAGGCGGCACGGGTAAAGGAAAATAAAGATGAAACACACCTCAGGGTTTTCTGTAGTTGAAACATGGAGAGATATGATCATAGGAAGTGGGTGAAAACACATGGAATTTCCTACTCACATTAACCACACACCATATGTCCCATTATCTGCTCGAGAATGAGAATGTGATGTTTGTCCCGTGGAGTTTATAATGCAAAACTGTAACTATATGTTCGTAGCTATTTGATCCAACCAGAAAATAAACCATATCTAATCTAACAGATGAACCGATCCAGTGCCTATGCATCGGTTTGCTTCAAGCAACGAGATGCATCGAACTAGCATTATGAACGAGTTAACCCCGAACGGCAAGGATCACATTCAATCAGCCAATTTAGTCAAAGTATCACAAATCTACATAAAACCAAAAAAGCACTTCAAACCTGTATTTTTTTTAGCTTACAAAAGAACAAGTCTTGTAGTTGCTTCAGGAAGTCTGTTTAAAAGCCTACTTGGTTAGGCCGAGGTAGAAACAAGATGCTGCACAAGTAGAATCCTTTCCCTGTTTAGTACATTTCCCATTTGATCTTCTCTATGATGTCAGCAATCACTTCCTACATATCCACCGCCTTCATTGGTGCAAATGGTCTCTTCATATCCTGCAGAGTGGAAGAAGCATTTTGTTTTTCAATTAACCAGCATAAAGGCTATAATTTCGAGTATATATAGGACTTCCACCGTCAAAGCAGACAAAACAAGTGATTACTTGAAACTCCATACAAAGCATCACACCAAAATTCAACCATTTCAAAATGTTGTGTTATAGTTATCCTTATTCAAATTACCAGCATAGCATACAACAGGCTCCTGCTGGTAACAAGCAACCAAAGCCGTTTTATCATGCTCAAATATCACTGCATATAATCAGCTGTTTCAATAGAGTGTTTCCTCAAATTGATGACCGTAAAGGATGTATAATTAACATTCAGTCTCTAATGCATATGAACCAAACAATAGGACCCAACAAAATACCTTAGTCAAATACAAGTTAGAAGGAAAATTTGACCGTCTGCTTGACGGAGGCTGAATCTATGCAATTAACTTCGGTTCCGATAGCTAGGTTTGAGCAGAGGGTGGAATCAAATCCAATAATATATAATCATATTCCAATCAAATATGATAAAAAAAAATCCGAATAATTATAATTTTTTTTAAGTAATGTCTCGGGCCCTGCACGTTTGAAATGTTTCACTTAAAAAAAAACGAGAGCAACTCAAATTGCATACAATGGCATGAGGACACCAAAACGTTTTCCTCAGTTCATTAATGAAGCAGCTGGAGTTGCCAATGGCAATACCTACCGTACCGGGGAGGGTCCAATTAGCCAGGACCGACCTTAGGGATGTCGTAATGCTCGGTTAGATTGGCTAGGCATTGGTTGAACTCGTGGATCCTGTCACGGTGTGACTTTCTCGCCATCTTAGCCAGTTTCTGTGGCTCTAATTTCTGTGTTTGCTCAAGATACCTCCTTTCCGCTGGCGTGAGGTGGTCGCCACGGATGAATTCCTCGTTGTCTCCGTTGTGCTTGGACAGCGTAGTATTGTCACCTGTCAGTATCCAGATCATATATACAAGTTTAATTACCAAGGACTCAGAGCTGAAGAGAATACGAAATCCGAAGCAGGTTGAATTGAGACGTGGAAGAACGGTGTGGGAGAAAGGTGACATGAGGTTCATATGAATGAAAACGGGTATGCTTGAATTCTACGCTTAAAGCTCCTGGATTTCTAACATGAACATGATAGAACCTAGGGGTCTATCGATTGTGTTTTCCTGCACTTGAGGAGCGGGGGGGTCCGTTCTTCCTCCCCCGAGGCTCCGTCGGAGATTTCAGAGGAAAACTCAATGCGGAAACATACAGAACATGTTCAACGAGTTATTGTCGATTCATTTAGCAACAATAACCATTTCATGAAGTAATACCAAAGACAAAGGTAATCCTTGACAGGAGAGACTATGAGAATGACCCTAAACAGTGGAGTGTTTTGAAATTTCAACGACCATTTCTTTCAGAAACAGTCTTGGAACACATCTAATTGCTGAAGAAGGATCAGTCGCTGCAAGATCCATTGATTGCAGTAAGACTTTAAAGCAAACAGAGCTAGATTTCTTCCACATAAGGTTATACCTTTACCATGAGACAAGACGCATCTTGTAAAACATAAAACAAGTTTTGAGCACTTCACATGAAAGTTTCTATCTAACAGATGAACACTATCGTTCTCTCACGTACAGACACACTCTCCTACCACATACCAAATGGGAAAACCGCCATTCACGACCAAAATTTCCCTCAGATTGTTGAACCCAGAGTATCCTCGCATTAGGATGCAATGTGATTTAACATAATAATCAAGAGAACCCCTACAAACTAACCTGCAGCGTTCTCATTGCCGCCGCCTGCGGGGGGAGAATAGTGCATCCTCTTCTTGTTCTTCTTCTGAACTCCACTTAACTTCAAGTCAAGCGGCATACCTTTCAGCTTCAGTTTTCCGACCACGACATTGTCGTACGCCGACATTTTCTTCCTCTTCCCCTGCGGATCGCTATAAGACGAGAATACACTCCCGACGATAGTCGGTCTAGAGAAAGATAAACCCAATGTCCCCTGAATCAAGAACCTAATACCATGATCCAGATCGAGATTTAGGGTTTCCCGGATCAATCGTCGTTGTTTCGCTGTTTCCTGAATAAACCCGATTTCTCCAGAAGCTTAGACAACTAACTGCAAGTTCAAACATGCAGAGCGTTTGAAACAGTAACAGCAATATACGTCGTCGTTTCGAAATCTGCCACATCGTGCCGTTTCAAGAAGGCCGTCAAGGAAGAAAACGGCAAGGCGTTTTGTGCAGAGATTCCATGGGGTTGAGAGAGAAGCCCAATTCTCTCTTGGTTGGGCCTTCGTTCTTACCCAAAAGAAGACGGAACCACGTGGTTTTTTTTTCCTCCCTTCTTTACTTAAAAAAAATAGGATAATTATATAATACCAAAAAAATATTTTTGGATTATTTTTATATTCGTTTTGGTTGATTTTTTCTTTGTTTTAGAAAATTATATTTATTAAATTTTTCTTAGAATATGATTATACGGGGTTATTTGTTTTAGAAGATTCAATTTTGCTTCATGGAATCGAAGGAGCCACCCTTAATTCTTTGTAATCCCTCATTTCCACCACAATTTTGGCACAAAATCATTATAATATAATTAACAACAATGGTTTTGAAATATAATTCCACGTGTCAGTATCAAAAGGATTGTTTCTTGCGAAATTGAGCAAAGAGCTATTGGTATTCAAATCAACATCAAAGACTTAGATTTAAAAAGCATATGGTAACGAACGGGGCTTAAATATTTACATGAAGTGTGCAACAAGTAGCATGCCAAGCATGAATTCCGCACATAATCAAACCCAATTTCATGAATCCTGTCACTTTCTTTTGGAGGAAAAAAATGCAGCCACCTGTATTTTAGCAGTATATATTGTGATACCCTAATCGACCCGATTATATAATTTCCACGTGTGTGTATAATATACATTTATATATATCATGGGTCGTAATTTCTTGGATGAGTGAATATATCCCTAACATTTGAAAAATGGGCTGCAAACGGATTATAACAATCTTTAAAATTATTATTTAAATGTTATACGAAGGCATACGTCAGTATAAATGATAGCAATGCAGGAAACATTACGGGAAAATGTATATAACGGTAGGTCCGAAATGATCGGGACACTTTGGAAGGTGGATCTCGATTTTTCATACACGAAGTGTGTGATAAGTAAAAGCAATATATATATATATATATAATTCAATAAACTTCTTCATAAAATACATAAATGGTACGAAAGCTTTTAATTAATTAATTAATTAATTTCAAAAATGGCAACTCATGAATGCCGATAGCCGTTAAATCATTGTCTAAACATTTATTCAATTAATTAAAAGAAATTGTTATTCACCTATTACATTACACGTCAAACCAAAGTGGTCCAATAAGAATGTAATAACTTTTATATCATAAAAAAACAAAAAGAAATATAAAAGTGGCAAGAAATGACAACTGCACAGTATGATGTGTCCTCACGTAGGAGCATCATCACAAGCTTTTGTCTCTTCATTTCATGCAAATTTTTACTGTTCCGTGATTTTTCAGTTTACAACTAATTTCTATTTTTTTTACTATTCCAAATAAGAAAATTATTAGATTTGGTGAGAGATTTTGTGTAAGTTGCTATGGGTTGGAATTATAATTATTATTTGGAGTCATTATCGTCATACAGTTATATATATATATATATATATATATATATATATATATGTGTGTGTATTATGGAATACAAATATATATTAAAATTGATTATAAATGGACCGTCTTGATATGTAAAAGCTATTATTAATGGACCGTCAAGATATGTACGAAATTTAAATGTACAACTTCGATCGCTATATATATGAACACAAACACAAACGCAAACGCAAACGCAATCGCAAACATTCAAGTGATCAAGCCGTGTTTTTTTCCCGATCATATATAATAATACATAGGATACGGTTGGAATATTTCCATAACTCTTTTCCAACCCCGGTTCGAATCCTCAATTGGGAATGGACATTCACATGAGTTTCTCTGATCTTCTAAGAGATTTAATTAGATCAAATGGCGGGTGAACTTCCAGATTATAAAAATATATATATATTTTTTCATAGAATCTCAAATGGATTTTTTTAATAATAACTTATGATGTGATTAAAAACAACAAAGATATTTATAACATTTTATTTATATAATATTTCTTGGAATTAAATATTTATTTGGTAAAGAAACTTTTATTAGATGGTTCTGGTTTCAGCCAACATTATACGATGTTTTGTGAAACTAAATAATTAAGTTCAATAATTTGGCGAAATTTATATTAATAGAGTGATCTATAACATTTTTATAGGCGAATGTGTCTAACACTAATATGCGTGTACGCATAGGTTCGACACAGTCGTTCACGGGGCATATATATATATATAACTAACTATGTATCAAAGTTTTTTTTTGGTGATAACTAAATCATTTATTCTTGAATCTAAACATGATAACAATAATATACAGGCGTTTACACGTACGTACGTACGTACGTACATACATACATACATACATACATACATACATACATACATACATACATACATACATACATACATACATACATACATACATACATACATACATACATACATACATACATACATACATACATACATACATACATACATACATACATACATACATACATACATACATACATACATACATACATACATACATACATACATACATACATACATACATACATACATACATACATATGACGCGTATATACGTGTGTCTGTGAGGTAAGATGGAGTGATTAAGGGATGCTAATGAAGAATTTCTTGACCAACTACACAAATTAAACATAAGATAAAATTTGGAGACGATGGGTTTAGTTGCATGTGCCTTGTACTTGAAGACCCATATTAGGTGAGACATTTCTTCGTCACATTTATTTTACTCAGTTATTTTTTTTAATTATATTTTTTTATTTTACAGAAATTCCAGCCATTCGTTTTATCAAATCTCGGGTTGGTTCGAGTTTTGCAGCTCGGATTCACTTCAAATTCTTATATAATTTTTGTTTTTATTTGTTTTTAAAATTATTTTCAATCGGGGGTTCTGATTTTTCATTAATCTGGTTCAAGATAATAATATAAAGTGATTTTAGATAGGATTAAATTTATATATAGTACTCGCTTCGATTCTATTTTACGTACCAAAATATCGACTCCAATTTCTTTTTTTACATTTATTTTTTTATATAAAGTCAGCAGCTATGGTTATCATGATAATCCCCCCTCTAGAAATCAATCCTCAAGAATTAAAAGCTGTCATAATTTGACAATAATCTATTGGTTTAGCATTTGCAAAAAGTAAGACAACTAAAAAAAACCCTAATTTTTTGTCGTCTTCTGAATTCTAATTCTCCACAAAACTCTCACAAGTAATCCTTTGTCTCCATGATATATGATACCACCAAAACCCTAATCTCATAGAATTTTTGCTGTCTGGATTTTCCTCTCCCAAGCAAGTAAGCTCATAATTTCACATACCCTAACATCTTCATGTACATGTTCAAGTATGTATGTGTGTATATATAGGTGCACCTGTACATCTTCATGTATATGTGTGTGTGTATCAGTGTGTATATAGATGTTTGTGCGTAGTCTTCTTCTTCTCCTCTTCCCATCACTTTTCATATGTTCCTTTGTTCTTTTTAAGAGCACATATATACAGAGAGCACACATCACTTTATCAATCAAATCGTTTTTGAAAAGTCGACCGATACATATATATATATATATATATATACACACACATGTATTATCGGTAGATACTTTGGTGTCGATTAATGATTTATTAGCTTGATTTCAACTTTCCCCACAAAAGTTTTTTACGTAAGTGTAGTTTTTGGAATTTAGAGATTGGGAATAGAGGAGAGAGATTCACATGGAAGGAGGAGATCAGAGCAAGGAAGAAGCTTTGCCTCCCGGTTTCCGATTTCATCCAACGGACGAAGAGCTAATTTCATATTATTTGGTGAATAAAATCGCCGACGCAAATTTCACCGGAAAAGCGATCGCCGACGTTGACCTCAACAAATCTGAGCCCTGGGAACTTCCTGGTACGTAACCCTAATTCAAGATCCACGTATTAATATACGTATGTACGTACACACACACACACGATACACATGCATGTATACTCTCTCCGTTTGCCGATCGATATAATTACGAATCCATTTTCATTTTGTTGCACATTGATTTAGGGTTTTGGTGTTTCTTCATGGCTTTAATATTATCCATTTGAAAAATATTTGCTTGTTTAGAAACTATTATCTGAATTTCCGCAAAAAAAAAACAAAAAACAAAATCTAACCTAATATATACACGTGTGTGTGCATACATGTATATATATAAGGCAAAAACTTGAAGAAACATACATGTTGGTCTTGAATGTTGTTAACGTCGCAACTTTGACATACCACTGAGAAATACCAAATATATGCATCCATGAATATTTATTTAAACTAAACATATACAGATTTGGATATATTTGCATACATATTGATTATCATTATGCGTATATATATATGTGTGGATGGATCTAGGTTAATAATATATCTATTTTTCTCACTATATATACATATCGATATTTATATAAAATAAATTCATATATATTAACACTACATATATGCCCGTGTTTTTTTTTCTTTCAAGGTGTTATCCTTTCTTTGTCCCCGTAGCATCTAGAATGCATGCAAGGCCCACTCAATTCTCTTGGGTTCTGAGATATATATATATATATATATATATATGTATATACTATTCGGTTCATTTTATTTTTCTCGTATCTTTTAGATCTTCCCAAACCAAGACCGATATTAAAACGAGCCGTTTCTCGCAGTTTAACCTTATCCAAATTGCACATTTCAAAGACTTTGTCACTACGTATGGGAAAAACAAAACCCTAGATATACGCACAATAACGTTTTCCCAACCAAATATCTACACATCAAAGGAAGTCATGCACACGTACGTACGTTAATTTCTCATCTGCTTACTTGACGCCCCGTATCAAGAAACAACCAAACAGAACATATTGTCTTTGTTTCTTTTCTCTTGGTCCGTAAGAAAATCGGAATAAAAAAAAAAAAAAGTACATTTTTTGAATAACGGGTCAATAACAGCAAAGGCGAAAATGGGAGGGAACGCGTGGTACTTCTTCAACCTAAGGGAAAAACCAGAGATGGAACTGAGACTATTCTACGCATACCCGCAAGAGAAAGAGTGGTACTTCTTCAACCTAAGGGACCGGAAGTATCCGACGGGGGTGAGGACGAACAGGGCGACGAACACGGGTTACTGGAAAACGACGGGAAAAGACAAGGAGATATTCAACAGCACGACCTCTGAGATGGTCGGGATGAAGAAGACTTTGGTTTTCTACAGAGGCAGAGCTCCTAGAGGCGAGAAGACTTGCTGGGTCATGCATGAGTACCGTATTCACTCTAAATCCTCCTACAGAACCTCCAAGGTGCGTATTTTAACGTTGCTTTCATCCGATACATCGTATATATGTATATAATGTCGTACATGGAACTATATCGATCGATTTCCTCTATACCCTTTACATGTGATGAACAACCTATTATAACATTAGGGACGAATTAAACTATTCTTAATAGATTTTTTTTACCTTAAAGATACCGAGATTAATCCACACAAGAAACTAAATTATGTTCTCTCTCTCGCTTTTGGCTGCAGCAAGACGAATGGGTTGTGTGCAGAGTGTTCAAGAAGAGCGAAGGAAACAGGAAATACACAAGCAATAATAGCACAAGAGCTTCATCAACTACAAACCCTTACCCTGAAATCTCACAAAATCTCCTCCCGCTTCCTCCACAATCCATAATCCATCCCCAAGATCAAACCTTTAACCGGATTCTCATGGCTAACACCCAGCTCGCCGAGCTCTCTCGCGTCTTCCGAGCCTCCACAAGCGCCATGCACCCGCATCTGAGCTACCAACTAGCCGGTGAGCCCACCAACATGCCGGTCTCAGGTCTGAATCTGAACCTAGGAGGAGGGGCGATGGTTCAGCCACCGGCGCCACTCGAAGATGCGGGCGTTAGTGGGCCGGAGATGGGTGCCGGCTCTTCATTTGCGGCGGAGGGTGGGTTTGGTGGGGTGGAGATGAACCATTGCATGGACTTCGATGGGTACTGGCCTTCATATTGATGGACGTTTCAAGTGATTTTAGTTTATGTTTATGTTTTTTTTTTGGTTGTTGTTAACTGAAGCAAAAGATTTGAAGATGTTATGTTCGTTTGGTAAGAAAGTTCATTGGTTTCGGTTTAGCAGTTCAAGAAAAAAACAGGAATGTTGACCAATCAAAGGGATCAGCCAAAAGATTACATTGCTTTCAACATCCAAACACGGGAGGATGATAATGGCGGCCTCAAAGATCGCATAGAGCTTGATGATTTGCAGTCCAACAGGAAACCCACTAAATTATTGCGACCCACGCGCTCGAAAAACACGTGCTAAATGAATGCATTGTCTTAGATTCTAAGACGTAGAATTCGGACAAGAAACGAACGATATCCCATTAGAATCAAGTAGCGGAAAACGTTAAAAGATATCCGAACTCGTAACCCAACCATCTCGACCTTGGATATAAGAATTTAAAACCCAATCGATCTTATGTACCCAAATTTCGAATATTTAAAAATAATACTGTAACGAAAACGAATTCTAGAAAAAATGATAATATAATTCTGTAGTTATTAAACGGTGGAAATAATCTTGTAAGAACAATCTTGTTGTTGTAAGAAAAAATATGAAAAAATTCATAGACTTACACAACATTTTTGTGGTTAATCAGATCTCCGAACATAACATCTGTCAAAACCAAAAACCAAATCCGACCCATAAATATTCTAGATTTACAAGTCCGAACTCAAAACCATTCAGATAACCTAACATCAGTCTTCAGATCATTTTGTCCGAACCAAAACGTTAATACCAATCGCATAACAAAAACACACGCATAGAGCTAGTGTACCACTTGACAATGTATCAGAAGATGCCAAATTCGAAAACCATTGATCCAACAAAACAAAACCCCATGCAAAAGCTTTGTTATATGTTATCAAAACTGCAAGAAATGGAAGTAATATTATCTCAAAACAAAAACTGACAAGGAGAAAAAGAAAGAAAGAACCGGTCCTGTGAAACCCTAATCGCAATGAAACCTTTGCTACATTCCTCCTCTATGTCGTGTCAAATCTTTCTTTCTTTCTTTCTTTCTTTCCTTCTTTTTGTGTGTGTGTGGAAATACTTAAAAAAGGAAGAGGTAAAAGAACATTGGGCACCTTCTGGGCTCTCCCCGACCGTAACCTTTTCCCAATCGGTGACCCAATGACCTCGGAAGTGATCGTGTCAAAGCTCTTACATAGCTCTTGCCTGCCCCAAAGGAAAAAAAAGGATTAACAAATAGTTGATGGCCAAACCACGAGACAGCTTAAGCTGTTCCAAAATGATTTCATGGTGTTCCTATCATTTTCACCTTTTGCGTTTGCGTTTTCGCTTTCCTAATGCACATCAACAGATTACATTACACCTCCATTATGTATCTCTTGAACATGCCAAAAGTCGTTCATCCATATGTCCGAGATTTTCTAGTTTGATCCAATAAAGCCCACAATCTTCTAGTTGATGTATCGTTCTGACTTTCACATGGAATCGAGAAATAACACAAGATGATGGCGTACCTCACTTGTCGGAGTGACCCCTTTTGGCCTTACGACGACCATGGTGATGAGGATGTCTTGCGGGCTTCTGTCCCTTTTTGCTGTAAGTTAACAATTACATAGACGCACAAAAAATTATCACTAGGCGGAAGAAAACACGAATTATCACCTCCCCCTATATATATAAAGACCAACATTGATATATATATATATACATATGTATATATAATGGTATAAAGCATTCATTAGTCTTAGACTTACCAGAAAAGAGAGCACGAGAGTTTGTACACAGCATAGATCGGTAGCGCCAATAACGCTGAAGCCTGCAGCAGAGTTCAAGAGAAAAAATATATATATATATATAACGACAACCATAGCGTCTTGGGGAATGCCCCGGAAGATTAATAAGGGCAAATACCGTGAACCAAACAAACTCTTTGGTTGCGAAAGTCTCCGTCAGCTCATGTTTCTTCAATTTCTCTTCGACCATTCCTTGAACCTTCAGACAACACACAGATTATACTGATAAACAGCCACTTTCCATCGCAAGGTTTGTTCAGATCTATAGTCTGTGCGTATATATATATGAATATAATTGTCTTGAATACAGACCTGATGGTGATATGCTGAGGCAGACTTGAGAAACTTTTTACAGACATGGGTCACCTTCTTTGTGTAAGGTTTAGCGGCAACTCTCACTCTATCGACATGGGGTTTTGTGGCTGTGGCCACTTGATCAACGTACACTTTAGCCTCCTGGAGAATGTAAAGAACACATCAATCAGATAGCTTTGTCAGTAAACAGCTCGCAAATTCGTATCGGTGAAATTACTAATAGATAACAAAGATACTGGACCTGATAATAGGGATCTATATATTCTTGGACCATGACAACATGTGGAGAAAGAGCAGCCTTTGATGCTTCATAAGCCTCTCTTGCTTTAGTGGACATTGTTTGCACATGCGGCTCAATGTATGTCCTAACAGTGACCCACCCCTCCTTCGCAGCCGGGATATATTTCTGCAAGAAGTACGTCATAAAATATAGGTTACGAACCTCATCGTACTCTAGAAACAGTAGTTTGTGCAAACATTGGTGTTCAAATAAAGCACCGTCTGATTATACACAGTGCTCAACGACTCTCTTTTCTCAGTCCATCTTCCTCCTTTGAAAGAATTATCGATGCAAATCACCAAATCCATGGTCCGACAGTAATGCCGATATGCTACTTACAGTTTTCATTGTTTCCACATGAGGTTCCGCCCATTTTCCAGCTTGATCCTTTGCTTCCGTTGCCTTATCAGATAATAAAAATTTCTTTAGCTAGAAGCCTTAAACTGTTCAGAGACATGCATTTTACAGATAAGGATTAAACACTACCTTTTGAAGTACTAAGTCCATGGCTGGTTTCCCATGGGCATCCCAGTGTGTCTCCGCAGAAATCTAGGGTTACAAGATGTACCCAAGTTAAAATACGACTAGAAAGTCTCTTACATTACGAACGGTAACACACTAATTAGAGCTTACTTGGAAATCAATCCAGCGCATGGCAAGCCACGGGGGAAGCCACGCACCATGAACCTGGCCATACGATAGAAATTGTTAAAAACTTTTAGCTATCAGACCATATGAAACACTTTGATAGAGAACCAGACCATATGACAGAAGCTGGACTGGTAAGTTATCAAAGGAAATAAAAATGAGCTTCCGAACAAACATTAGATCAATCAGTTACTCAGAACATGACATCGTAATTTCTATTTCACCGCTCGTTTATCTCAATCACAAGGTTATTCTGATGCTTAAAAACCAACCGTAGAGACAAAAGAAAGATGGAAAAATATGCCAAATTATTACCTCATGCAGTTCCTTTGCCTTCGAGGTTGCCTCATGACTTAACCTCAAAATTTCTTCCTGGAAAAGTATTTTCAGCAGAACCGAGTGTGAGAGTCAATATTTGAAGTCTGGTGACACTAATCCATTATAAGGTATCATACCTCAGCAATCTGAAGAGCACGCTCAAGTTTTCGCATTTTGCTTTCCTGCTCATCCTTTGTCTTCTGAAACTGCAACGTATCAGACACTTTCGTAAACATCTACAGAAGCTTGTCTTAAAAAGTAGCACAGATCCAAACAAGGACAAATGATGACAAAATCATATGCAAGGAAACACAATGCAATACAGATATCAGCAAGAAGCAACTATTCAGAACTCCCATACAACTAGATCTACGAGTTCAGAGAAGATAATGGTGTAAGAAAAACAGGGAGCGAAAGAGAGAAAATGAAAATTGAAGTCTGGAAACTTCATGAAACCCAGCCAACGCTGACAAAGAACATCGATACGCAGGTACTGGTACACTGGAACGACCAGATTAACAATATTTGAGACTCCAAAAGACATGATAACTGCAGAATGATGATCTGATACGAAGAAAAAACAGTGGGCGGAAAGAACGTACTTCAACCAGCCTCGAGTTTAATACACTTAGCTTCTTCTCAGCCTCACTAGTCCTAGCTTCTGTGGATTCTTTCTCCTTGTTTTTCTTCTCTAGCTCCTTCCTGAGTGTCTCAATCTGTGACCAAAAGTAGAACAATAATGATGAGACTGATGTTTGTCGATTCCTACTCCTTTAGAACAGTTGGTGTTCGGAGTCAATTACTCGCCCGGTTCTCTAGTTCGACAGCCCGTGCTTGAGCCTTTCCCAGCTGTTCCGCAGAATCTGATGAACCCTTTTCCTGTGAAGCAAGTAAACCGTAAAACTCAGGTGTAAGCAGCACGTAACGAGAGATTAATACAATCGAGAAAAAGTATAGAGCCGAAAACAATATCGACAAATCTAGCATTGAAAATACATACATAAACGTCAAAACCAGAGATGGAACTGAGACTATTCTACGCATACCCGCAACGATGAGACCTCAGCCTGCAAGGAACCAATTTTGTTTTGTCTTTCTTGGAGACGTTTCTCCTTCTCTGCAATCAACTCCTCCTTGCCCTTAAGTTTTCGGGTTTTCTCATCAATTTGGGATTCTTCACCAAAGAAAACATAAGTCCCAATTCATCAGGCCTTTCGATACAATCAAATGGAAAGATGCAACATGATTGCTAGTCTCTACGATTCGCATTAACCACAATGATTGAATGTATATGCAGAAACTCGGTTGAAATCAGCCAAGAAACCAATCAGCCACTGCCCCAAGAACAAAAACGCGTAACCTAAACCCCCTAAACTTAGAACTCCCAATCTGACTAAAGCCATGCAGATTCCACAAGCCATGACCATGCGAATCCCAAATCCGAACAAAACAAGCAACTACTCAGTCGGAGAGGCATTTCGGGCAGAGAAAAGAAGCGAAAACCTAGAGCATAGATCTTGGCGTTGAGCTGATCAATTTGAATTTCGGAAACCAACGCATCTCCGCCGTCGGAGCCGGTGGTCCCGTCGTCGGCGACACCAGCATTGGCGAAGACGCCAGAGGTGAAAACCAAGGCCAAGAGGAAGAGAGAAACGAGCTTCATGGCCGCCATAACTGGATTAGCCAACAAAACTTGTGAAGGAGAAGACCGAGAATGGACGAATTGTTTTTTTTTTGGTTGGTGATGAGAAAGACTGAAAGAGCGTGCACGGAAGATGGCAACGTGAGGTGTGGCTTCGTGGGGATGTCGTGACCTACACGTGGCAGTTTCTCGAAGTAGGATTCTCAGTCTTTGTTTTTTTTACGGTCAAAATCAACTGCATTTTTTTACTGGTCCCTTTTCAAAATAATTCATGTTTTTGTCGTGGATAACTTCGTGATTTCAAAGCTCCTTTATAGAAATCTCGTTACCCTTTCAATATACATTATTCCTGATAAATTTTTATTTGAAACAAAATATTTTATCACAATTTTCCATATTTCAAATTTTTTTATGTTAAAAACATGTTTTTTTTAAAATTAGTGTTTTTTCTTCACCACTTTTACTTGCATAAATTTTTAGAGATCGATGTTTTCTGCTAATATGACCCTTTATTGATTAAATTTTTTTAAAAAAAAACTTAGGATTCTATTTTGTTTATAGAATTTTTTTTTCCCCGGATAAAAGCTTGGGTTTGACGTGTGGAATGTAAATATCATACGGTTGAAATCAATGAATTTAAAGGGTAATTAAAAGGGAGGGATTGGGTTTTCAACGGCGTTTTGGTTGGGGGTTTGACAGGTAGGCGGAACAAAGATTTGACATTTGTTGTCCGAATTCCTCCCCGTCTCTGTTTGGGCCTCTGTGGGCTGAGATATGTAATTAATGGGCTCATCATGTTAAACCCATTATTAAGCCCAATCCTTTGAAAAAGTTCGCGACAGTTGTTTGCTTTTTCACACCCTAAATTTTAGTTTTTTAAAAAAAGTAATCTCCATAAAAAAAATTAATAAAAATATATAAATTTTAAAATTCCTATAAAAAATACTATCAATTATATACATACATATATAAAAGTTAATCCAGTGAAGGTATTGAAAATATTTTGTTTAATTTGAATTTTTTTCGAGAATAATTTAATATGGGATGTATTTATATGGAATTAAAAAAAAAACAGATGGATTTTCCTTTTTTTTTAAAAAAGTTGTCCGGAGAACTGAACTTCGACGAAAGATTACATCATTCTTTGTAACATTTTTCACATTCTTGCATCATATTCTAGGTCCGTCGCTTCAATTTTATTTTATTTCTTTTGTTATAAATAACGAGGCATATATAATCTCCGGGAGTCCACGAAAAGAAGAAATACGTATTTTGTGTACTGTGCATGCTCATTTGCGCATGCCCGTGGGCCTTAATGCTCAATTCGTTGGTGTTTTCACCGTTTTGCCGTCGGAACCGGATCAATATCATATTTTTAAACAATTTTAAGAATGATTAAATCATTTTTTTTTTCAAATTTAGGAACAATTAAAAACATTAAAAAAAATATAGAAATTATTTTTTCACCAAATTGCAAATTTGGAAATTTTTAGGAATTTTTTCCATATATATATATATTATCAAACCAACTGAATGAAAAGGTAATGAAGAAGAAATAAAAAGCGTCGTTCCAATTCTCGCATTTTCCAATCAAAACGTGAAACATCATACCTCATATTTTCCCATTTTGATTCCCGTGACGTAAGCACGTGACACACACACACACAAATTCATACGCAAACACAAACGATACATACAAATACATATATATGTATATATGCATGCCAATGGAGTGACGATGTGAAAAGTCATATATGATTCGAACATGACATCATCTCTCTTGTTCTTAACCGTTGTTCTAGAGAAAACCAGTTGGGCTACGTTACCGGAATCATTACACTAAACAGATCTACAGCCATGGATTTTCTCGGTCTTTCCACTCTGGAACTTGCTCAAGAACAAGAAATCAAGGTTGTAAAGCACGGGAACCATGACGACGGAGCAGAAGAACACGAGCACCGGCCCGAAAATCCAAAGCATCAGAGGGATGGCCGCGTAGAACAATCGGTTCCCGACGGTGTTAAGTACGAAACCCTTGTCCAGCAGCTCCGTCACATACTCCGCCGTCACCACCACCGGCTCCTCCTCCGGCGATTTTTCCGGTGAAAGGGAGATGGGGACGTTGATGAGGAAGTTGACTTGGTTCATGAAGCGAATGGAGAGGGAGTGAGAGAAGAAGGAGAAGAGGAAGATGGTGAGGACGGTGACGTACTTTAGAGCCACCATGACGTCACCGTGTGCACCGAAAACGACGTCGTTGATGGGCTTCTTCACGGAATACGTGCTGCTGATGACCGCTGCGAGCCCGGCGCAGAGGAGGATGGAGGTCGTAGCCATCAATGTCGATCCCATTATGATGTTTCGCAGGGTCTGGACAGCCAGGATGTTCTTCTTGTCGTTGTCCTAACCAAAGGCGGAGTAAAACTTTGTTTTACAAAACGTATACGATTATATGTATGGTATATGATAGTAAATCAAAATATTAGTTAATTACCTTGATGATGGAATCGACCCAGAGCCGGCGAGCTCCGGCATTGACTCCTAAAACGGTGGTGAATGGCTTTGTGCGTACCTTGTGCCACAAGTAAACATGATACATGGCTGATATCATAAGCCCTAATGGCACCAAGGTCGCGTCTAGGTAGCATTCCCTCCATTCCATCGGTCAATTCCTTCAGAGAGAGAGAAGGGTTTATATGTGTGATGGTATATTTCATAGATTCTGGAAGCTGGGAGCTATATTTATAAGGGAATAGAAAGCAGAAGAACCGATGCATGAGCAGAGGAAAACGAGAGAGAGAGAGAGAGAGCATGGAAATGGTGTTTGGATATGCATGCTTGTCAGTTTGTTTGCCATTTCACTTCCAAAGTGATCTCTAGTTGGAGCCCATTTATCATATTTTATTCTTGCACGCCTTCCTATCCTATCACCCTTTTTTTTTCTATTTTCTCTTTTCTTTTGTATATGTTACACATGAATTCTTTGATGTGTGTGGGTGGGTGTGTGTATATATATATACAAGTGAGATGTAAGTTTTTTTTATTATTAGGAACTCTCTTGCCAATTCGATTGTAAAAACAAAAACAAATTGGATACATAAAGAAGTGGATGTATTTGTGTTGTACATAAATATGAATAATTTTTGTAACGTTATTGAAATGGGTGTGGATTGATTAATATTTAATAGTATTTCCCCTAATATTCGAGAAATTGTTAATATGGCCGAATTGGGCAGATAATCTGTTTGAAACCAAATCTTATGTTACTGCAAACAACTCAGACGTGTTGATATTCTAATTGTAGGCATCACGTATACCTAATTATTGAAATTGAAACCCTAATTAGTTTTACTTTTTTCCCTTTTCAAAATATTGTACATATAAATGCCAAATCGTTACTACACACGCACGTCAAATTTGAAAAGAAAAGAAAAAGGAAATAAAATTTGGTACATATTAGAATATCATATTACTTTAGAAAGATCACGGAAATAAATAATAGTTCGAGACTTGTGCATGAAACATATTTTATTAATTTAGAAAAGTCACAAAAACAAATAACATAATAATTTTGCAAGTTTGATAATTAATTTTGGAATTTTAAAATATAAAGACTAATAGAAATAGGTAAGTTAGAATTTCCAAATTTAAAAAAAAATAATATTTTGATAAATGTGAAAATGACGGGACAGATGGAATAGAAAAAAAAAAAAAGAGGAAACTTTAGTAGGAGATACGATGAAATTGATAAATGTGAAAATGTGAGAAAGCAACAGAGATTTGTTTTTGCAGTAATCATTTTTCTATTTCAGTAGTAATTAAAACTAATTACAAAAATAAATTTTTTTAATATTATATGTTGAATATTATGTATAGATAATTCACGGGTAGTTCGTAGTAAAAAAAAATTTGGTAAAAAGAATGGTGGTGAAATGATTTAAAGGGGAGAAAAGAAATGGTGAAATGTGACGAGGCCCATATAGAGATAAGAGACGCACAAAACATGAGGACCGACCTTCACCATCGCCTCATTGGTGACCTTGGAATCCTATCATTATTAATTTTTGAATTTTATTTTTAAAACCAGCACTCTTTTTAATCATTTAAAACATTAATCATTCACCCAATCCAAAAAAAAAAACGTTTTAAAAAAAATATGAAAGTCCTTTTAAAATTTTAAATATATTTATAATATATTAATGAAAAACCAATTATCTCATATGCATTTTTAATAGTGGTAGTTATATTTTATCAAAATAAATTGAGTTTATTATATCTTATTTTACTCATATGTTTGATGTTTGTGCAAATATAAAAGTAATATTGTTATATAAATCAACTTGTTATCTTATGGTACACAAGACATTTTCTTTTAGGGATGTCAAAGTGAAGATCTCTGATTAAATAGGAACATTATGTGTACATGTGGGTAAAACAATTAGTAATATAGCATTGATGAAGCATGTATATACTATATATGCAACCGAATCATTGTATAACCTATATTATTATTATTATTATTAATCGATTTTATATAAACTATAAAAACTCCTTTTATTTCCACTATTTTTTTCAGCTCGAAAATTTTAATTTAATTTATTTTTAAAAAGTTATAGTCAATTTCTTTTTAAAATCTGAATTTGATATGCCACCGTAATTGCCCATAAAGGGAGCACTACACATTTATGAAAATAAAAAGGGCCACCTTGAAATCAAAGAGAGGGCCAAGCTTCTTTGTACGGTCGTGGGAATGCATTTGGAATGAGAACGCGACCTGGTTCGTTTTCGTAATACCTTTCATCTCCATGAATGCATTTGAATCTTTAGTGCTTCTTCTTTTGATCCTTACTGCTCTTATCATAATTAAAAAAGCAACCAATCATTAAGCATTGAGCTCTTAAATATATGAATATAATATAACTAATTGCGATTAAATTAAATTCAAGATATTTTGTTTTGAATGGTAATAGTTTTTATTATGAGTTTTGGTTTTTAGTTTCTGTTTTTTTTTGTAATGTTTAAAAAAACTATGAGAAGAGTTTTTCGGAGTTTTTGGATTTTTAAAACTGAAAAAAACTGACAATCAAGTTTTTTAAAATTTGGTTTTCCTAAAAACCCGAAAATCTACTTTATAAAAAAAACAACTAAAAACCAAAAGTTACAATTTTTTAGATTTACAAACTTAGGCTTCGAATGACATTGGTTTTTATTTTGGGTTTTTGGCTTTAGTTTTTTGTTTTTGATTTTTGTCTTTTGGATTTTATAAGTTTGTAAATATAAAAAAATGTGGCTTTTAGTTTTTAGTTGATTTTTTTTATAAAATAGATTTTCGGGTTTTTAGAAAAACCAAATAAAAAGAAACTTAATTGTCGGTTTTTTACTTTTTGAAATCCAAAAATTGTGAAAACTCTCCATATTCAACAACTTATAAAATCCAAAACCCAAAAACCAAAAACCAAAAACTAAAACCAAAAACTCAAAATAAAAACCACTACCATTCAAAAAAACTTATAAAAATTTAATTCATTATTTTTTTGGTTTTTTAATTTTAAAAACTCTTAAAAGCCAAAAACCAAAAACTAAAGCCAAAAACCCAAAATAAAAACCACTACCATTCAAGAAAATTTATAAAAATTTAATTCATTATTTTTTTGGTTTTTTAATTTTAAAAACTCTTAAAACCCCATCTATTCATAACCTAAATTTATTGGTTGATAAATACATAGATAGATGCAAGTGCACGGTGGGCAAAAAAAATCTGTGAATATATATAATGTATCATGTTGTAGTGGCAACAACTATTAACCATTAATATTAATTTGCAATAACTCGTAGTCCATAGTATCATCTGTCAAATATACATATGATTAATTTGATTTTTTTTTTTTACAAAATCAAATATTTTTTAAACCGGATTGATTTTTTTAAAAAACAAATTATTTTCCATTTTATAGTCTAATTCAAACCAAAAACGAAATGACGAAAGTTTTTAAAGGTCGGAGTACACAACAAATACACCAAAATGTGTAAATACATTTTGAATTAGGGAAAGTCAAAATTGGGCTTTGGCCCAAACTATATTTCAGCTCTAACAATTCGGCCCATAATGTCTGAATTTCAAAATCCGGAAGTTTGGTTAATGTTTATATATCTACTAATTTTCACCAATAAATAAAATGATATATGGACAGTCTTTGTACAATGTAGATTCAATATTCATGGAATCTTTTTTTTTTTATTGATGGACTTGGTTATGACAAAGCATGAAGTGGGCAACCAATTTCGTCTGGATTGATTTGATGTTTTTTTAATAACTATTGGTTATTAATAAAACCGAATAAAATAATATATAATCGTGGAACTAATTGAAAAAAAAAATATCAAATGGATAAATTTAAATAAAAATAACCGAATGAATAACAGAAATGTATTTATTGGGTCAAGGAAAAATTCATAATTTGGAAGCATGAACCAATTCTCAATTCAAAAACTAGTAGGGGAAAAGAACCATGTTCTTCAATTTTTTTTTATTAATACAAAATTCTTACAAATAAGAAATGTTGATTTAAAAAAGTTTTATATTAAAAATGATATTAATTTATGAAAAGAAGGTGAATTTAATTAATAGCCATTAAAAAAATTAAAAAATGGGCAGCAGAGTTATGCGTTTTTACTGCATCTGCAAGTTTGACTGACACGAGAAGAGAGAGGAGTTTCCAAGGCACAAGACTGTGATCCGGCTTACTTTCTGGTGCGGCATATTTTAATTTTATATTATATATATATATATATATTATATCAACAAATATTTAAAAAATGTACAATTAATTAATTGTCACTATATTGTGAAAAAATAAAATAAAAAAATACGAAAAGATCTGAAATTAGGTTTAAGCAAATGCAAATTTAATTAAATCTGGAGTAAACAGTAATAGAAAGTAGAAATTATGGTATTACGATCTAAATTTGTGTAGTCTATATTATATATATATATATATATATATATATATTCGAAATTTAAATGATAATTTCTATATTGAAAAAATTGCCGAAAACAAATACGAGATTTCATTAATTATTGAATATGGAATAAATGACAGCTAATTTGACCATTTAATTACTTTCTCAATTAATCATTGTTCAATCATTTAGGCTATTATTTATATTATGCGTCCATGGTAGTTACCACTTAACACAAATTCTCATTTTTATTTTTATTTTGAAAAAAAAGTTATTAAATAATGGAGAATATGCCAAAAATAACAAAATCCAATCACTTAAAAAGTATTGTGATTATTTTTCTTAAATGGGAACCAACCAATTAATCATTTGATCAATTAATCATTTTAAACCAATTTACATGATCAATTCACAAACGTGTGTATCCTGATATGGGTCGTATTGTACGGGTTATATATGCGAATATTATATTCGAGTCAAAATAATGTAATTAATCCTTTTTTTCTATTTTGGTTTTATAATTACAATTTGCGTAATTCGTGCTCATTTTCAGTGCTTCTTATAATTACTCACCAGCACATGCATATGCCTAATCTCCTTCATTATGAAACTTATTTGTTAAAAATATATATATGAAATACATACTGTAATTTATGGGTTGAATATTTTGATTTGGATATGTAAACCGGGACTGAAACACAATTGAAATCGGGAAAATCCACCTCTAACTCTCCGGTTGAAAAGATTCAAGTTCAATTGTTATGTTTTATTTTTTAATTCATCAATTAAAATAATTGGTGTGTTTTTTTTTTCATGTTGGAACCAAACTGCCGAACATATAAATTCTCAACTATTTATTAGATTAAGAGTTTTATCTTAAATTGACCTTCGAATTTAGATTCGAATAATATAAATATTCAATTTTGTATCATTCATTTTTAAAATATAGATTTTTTTTCCTATCGAGCAAGGAAAAATATACCCGTCTCTTATTTTTAAAAAATTGGACGCCAACTTTTTGTTATCGGTTTATTTTATAAAGCCGTAACCGAAAGCATATGATTTAGTTGTTGAAACCAATCATTATTTTGTAGATACATAACCTATTTTCATATTCTTGTGTATTATATGTATACATACACATACATATAACAATTCGATTATGTGTCTGTATATGCAAAATTATTATCAAATATCGGTTTGTAGGTAGGGGAAAAACAGGGGATATGGAGCAATGTGTGTGTGTGTTTATATATATATGTACAATATATACTATGTATATGTATGTATATATAAGTACTAATGTGTGTGCGTGCGTATAATTTTGTATCACGAATCCTAGGTATTAAATTTGGGAGATATAAAAATAGAATATAATGGACCAGACAAAATATATACGAGGCAAAACTCAATCACGATAATGATATTAATTTATATATCAAATCTCATATATGCATCTCTTCACAACCGCACCTCTAGCCCGTTTGTCATCACACTATTGGAGAACAATATCACACACATATCCACGACCGAATTACATTACATACATATATATACATACACGCGCATGCGTACATAATGGTAGCTAAAGATTTTAAAAAATTGAATACGAAAATTTAAAAAAAATTTAAATTTTTCAAGTGATATGTATCATTATCATCATATAAAAAAAACGCTTGAGTTTGTGGTACACAATATATATGTATAATTCCATATATATATATATATATATATCGTTATTATCAGAGATTATTTGGAACTTCAACTGTCTCTTAGTATTACCATATCATGAATTTTGGAAATGTAGTTTCTCACCGTATGTAATTCCAAACAAATTATTTCTAACTATTGTTATCTTTATTTTCAAATTTTAAATTGATAAACACTAATCCACCCTAAAATATGAAACCGAATTTCGTTATATTTTTAAAGTGAATTTAGAGGGATATGGATACTTTAAAACTTTATACATGGAAAATGCGCGTAAAAAAATATTCAAAATAAGTTATAAAAAAACAATATTCAAAATAAGAAAAATATAAAGAAAATGAAAAGAAAGCAAGTATAGGAAACCCTAGTTCACATGGGGCTCGAGAGATCGCACGCACAATGACGTGGAGATACCCGCCTTTCGCACGACCGACCATGTCCGAATGCAATTAATTACAAATTTAACTTAATAATTAAGTGTATGTAAAATAATAAAAAATAAATAAAAGTAAATAATGTGAAAAAAGAGAGAGAGGAGAGTTTAGACGTACGAGGTCACTGCAGTGAACGGTGAACCGTGTGTGCCGTTTGCTTTGGAAAATGAGGAAACCCATTTTTCCTTTTTCATTTCTGAGATTTCTTTTACGGTAATATCGGTTTCTTAAATTGAATTAATTAAATTTGAACTAATTGCAAAAATAAATCGAAAAATGAAAATATATAACTAAGTAATACGATTTGTTAAAAACTGAACATTTTAAATAAAAAAAATTCTAAATATTCATACAAATGAAAAATATTGCAAGATAAGATATAGTCTTTGAAGAATATTAGCAAAAATGTAGCCAAATATATATATCTTAATAATATTATTTTATGAATAAAGAGGAATATATCTTAATAATGATATCGAGATCAAATATATTTTTTTTTATAATATAGAATTTATAACTGATAGATTAACAGATGAAAAAGATAAGAAGATTCGAAATCTTAACCTTGAAATTAAAGGGTATAATATTCAACCGACTCACCGGTTGTTCTCCCATTGATCAAATATTATAAACAACATGTGATGTATGATATAGTTTACATCTATATCATATGATTTCAACTTTTAAAAAAAGTCAATAGTGGTTTAAGATGTTATGGTGGATGTCATGACCTACCATGTTGATATATTTTTAGCAGTTTGCTTCGTTTTTAAATTCATATATTTAAAATAGTACGAAATATCATTATTTACATGAAAAATACCAAAAACAATTATTAACTCTATCCAAATCATATACATACATATATATATATATAGCCAAAGCATCCGCCACATTACAAATTTGAACCGGCATATGGAGAAATATTCATATTTGGCCGAACTTGAATCGAAAAAGCCAAATGGGATCGTGATATAAAAATTTATGTCGAAAATACAAAAAAAAAAGTTATTTTTGTTAAAATATTCAAAATTCCTTTTTGTTACATGGAATGGGAGTGTTTACACAACATAAAAATTTTCTCACATTTTCAAATCATTCGAAATCAACTGAAACTTTTCATTTTATAAAATCCAACATAATTTATAAAAGCCCTAAAATCCCCACCTTTTTTTTCTTTGCCTTCACACGTTTGTATTTCATCCTCAATGTTATATTTTCAATCATACTTTAATTTATTTTAAAAAAATAACACAATTAATTAGTTAATTAAACTTTAATTAGACCCCTTTTTTAAAATTTTACTAGCAGTAAGAAAAGAACGGGAAAGAAAGAACATGGGGCAACGTACCAATCGCAATGTGGATTTAGACTTTGGGTTGGGGTTCACATTTAAATATACCACTAAATATGATTGGCAAAAATATTTCTTTAATTATAGTGGCAAAGCATTAAGCTTAATTAATTAAAGAATTAATTAACAAGAATCCCAAGGTCGTCACCTCTATATATCCAAGCCCTTGGAACCCACCAAAGTCCCCCCACCTCCCCTTGAACTCAAAAATCTCACCAACGCAGAGACAGCTCCATCAACTGTTACTACACAGAAACACGACCAAACAAACCGCTTCCGTTCTGCCATGGAAGCCAAGAAGTCGAACAAGATCAGAGAGATAGTGAAGCTCCAGCAGATCCTCAAGAAATGGCGGAAAATGGCCAACGCGTCCAAAACCGCCGCTTCAAACAACAACAACAACAACAATGGCAATGGAAGCGGAAGCAAAAGCATCAAGTTTCTGAAGAGGACACTATCTTTCACAGATGCATCAGCTGTTCCGAAAGGGTGTTTAGCTGTTTCGGTGGGCGAGGAGCAGAAGAGATACACCATACCGACAGAGTACTTGAGCCACCAAGCCTTCCAGGCGCTGCTGCAGGAAGCCGAGGAGGAGTTCGGGTTTCAGCAAGCGGGCGTGCTGAGGATTCCCTGTGAAGTGGCCGTGTTCGAGAACATTTTGAAGATAATGGAGGAGAAGAAAGACGGGTACCTCATGATTCAAGACTGCAGGTTCATTGCCGACGAGCCGTTGAGTTACCGTCTTCCCCTTCCCTCGGATTGTCCGAGAACTCCTTCTCATCAACCTCACAGCCCCATGTGCAGATAGATAGCTTTGACCCTTCTTCTTTCCCACTCCCCCCCCCCCCCCGGG